TCAGCCATGTGCTTGGTGACTTGGGAGCATCGATCATCAGCAAGAGACTTGTCTAGCTGCTGCAACAGATACTCCCTTCTGGAGTGATCTGTTGCAGCCTCTAGCTCAGCAGCCTCCAGCCGTTCCAATTCAGCCACTCTGGCCTGTTGCAGTCTGAGTTGTTCTTCTGCCTCCTTCTTCATCCGCTGAGTAGCAGTCAGAGGTGGAGGAGGAGTAGTGGAGGAAGAAGGTTGTTCACCTTCTGCCTTCACCACAACCTCTACATGTGGCTGCTGCTCATTCCCCTGATCCGACATTTTCCCAGTTCAAATAAAAACCAAAAATAAAATAACAGCAGAAAGAATTGCAGCGATATGCAGATTCCTGCAGATACTCTGGAATCGCTGCAGCACTCAACATTAGAGTAGGTGGGTGAGTAGGCAATCAACGGTTTGGGGTTAGAAGGGTGTCTCTGGGGTCAGGTGTCAGATAGACTGTCAGTCCAGCAAAATCAGTCACACGATTTCCTTTTACTGACCTTGGACCAGGCTGGAAGTCACACAGTCACTCCACTAGTTTTCTAGAGACCCACTAGAAATTCCAGTGCCCACTAGAAACAAGTGTAATCAGTGGGAATGATGGAAACGGTTAGTACAGACACAGAGAGATCAATCACAACAAGCGATGTAGACAGATACCCGATATCCTGACTCAGACTCAATTTCAGACACTGATGACTCTGGAGGCCATACCCTAGGGTATGGCGAATCACAGATTTCACTGTATTCAATGAAATACTAGAAATCCAACTCTGCGATTTGACAGTACTGACTGTTTTCAAATTGCGATTCACTGGGGACTGACATAACTGAATTCTGACGGACAGAATTAGAGTTATGACTGACCCTAGATAGCACAGGCAAAAAATAGACTCAGCGCAAAACTATAATTCACAGTATCACTATTTTTGCAGTGCAGAATTCACAGTTTCAGCATCCCAGTAGAATCGCAATGCAGTATAGCAGTCACCGAACCAATTTGGACCAGAAAGAGTCAACAGAGGATGAGATATGAGCAGAGAGAGGGAGGGGAGAGATGGCTATGGCTGTCATGCAGTCTGCGATTTTCATATCCAATCACTGGAAGACAGATAGACCATTTTCGTTCACTAATCTACTACTATCTGGATCGCAATACAGGTAGGTGCATGGAACGGACTCACTTTTTGCGAATCTTGCAGGAGATGATGAAGATCTGGCTATGGCAGATGAAACCCTTATCTCTCCACTTTCCTCCAGAGCTTCTTCCTGACAATCCCACGCACAGAACTGCTTCAAATTTGTTGATCCTCCTCAGGATCCTGTGGCGCTGCACCCCTTCACTCCAGATACCCTGTATCTGGTCCTGTGGCACCCAACTCGCCAACTCCACAATATCTCGCCACAGGGTCAGGTAGCCGCTGATGCTAAAAATAGCCCCAAATGGGGTTATTCCTCCTGGAGATTGATATCCTGCATCAATCTCTATCAGCGCCACCCAGGGATGATGCCGCTCAGGGTTCCCTGATGTCCTCAGGGGTAACTCCCCACTCTGGGGTAATTCGTTGTATGACCCTCAGGGTTGGCTATGGCGAATTAGCCCTGTACTTGCCACTTCTTGCCAAGCGCCCTGACAGGCTCGGTGCACTTGTTCAGTACAGCCACTGAACACTTGAATTCACCGCTGAAAGTCTTCTTCCCTGCTGACTCATTACTGGGGAAGATGAATCGCCATGAAGCTCTCGCCAGTATATCGCCAGGATGAAGAAGATGCCTTAGTGCGCTCAACCCTCAGTGCTCCAATTCCAATCTCGCTCTGATACCAACTGTTATGATCTTGGTTGTTTGACGAATTTTCTCGCCACTCACACACAGACAATCTCATACATGCCCATACATGCACAAGAGATGGGGAGAGAGGAGACAGAGTCCACACTGCACACAGGTGAAGATAAACAGCGGAAGACAATTATGCACAGCAGGGGAGAAGACACCCAGTGTTTCTCGCTCTCTGACACAACTCCCAACAACCAATCACAAGAAAGAACCTGCGAAGATCACAATCGAAACTGTCACTGATGCTGAACCACWCACACAATTATCGTAACAGAGTTTGTTCCAGTATCTCGCCACACTCAGAACTCACACCSCAMTCTCTATCCTACACCCAGTGAGTAGCGYTGCATYTGAACAGCCTCTCAGAGGCCAGCGCCAACCACCCTGATGAAGCACAGGTCCTGCGATGAAGTCTTCAGTGCCGATGGACAACTCTGACGAAGGAACAGGCAGCTATGGCTGCCACCACCCACGAACCACTCAGTGTAGAGCCTCAACGTAGCCCGGCCATAAGCAGATACCCCCAGGGGTAGATGCGCTGAGGGTGCCCCAACTGTGGCAAGCTCAGAGAGGGCCGGCTATGGCCGCTGTTGCGGTCTGTCTCAGGATGCCGCCGGTAGACAGGTACCGCCACCAACTTGYTTGGCTTCTCCAACGCTGTTCGCGAGAAATGAACTGCCAAAAATGYTGAACCGATGGGCCTAACCTATCTATAGACTACTAGGACTTAGACCGGACTGACTGACCGACCGGTACSGTTGCTGTTTCGRCCTCTCGGCCTCTACCGKACCCGGCTATAGGCTATAGGACCGTCTAGCAGCATAGGCCGCTTAGGGCCTGTCTGTCCTAGGGGTAGCCCGGGCCTGCTATCAGCAGTTAGGGTMGCTGTAGGAATTCAGGTTAGTACTGGGCCTATATTTTCCCAGATTTACAGATCTGTCCCTCAAGAATTTCCCTACAGGCAGGTCTCTCGGTTAGCCCTCAGCCAAACAAAATTACGAATCTAACCTACCGGGTTAGTGTACAGCCTCGCTGTTAATTTCGGCAGCAGAAATCAGCAAGTCATTGCACCTTTCCCATGTCACTACAGCTCTCCTAGCAACTGGTGGCCAACCAGCTCTTTAAGGTCTGCCAGCAAGGACCTCGATAATTATTAAACAACGCAGTCAGGACGTCCTGGCCACCAATATGAAGGATTGTTCTCAAAACTTAATAGCTCCTCGCTGCTCTGTCTGGTTCGGTCGCACGCAGGACAGTACCGATCATTGGGCAGACAGGTTTATTAACGAGCGCCTGGCGCTCATGCCCGTGCTCCCTACTTGTCAAGTACTGCCTCCAGCTGGTGAGCTACTACCCTAGACCGACCTAAAGCATGCACGAGACTTTCACTCTCACGAGGTTAGGGTCCCACTGGTACACATGCCCCCAGGCAGGCCGGCAACCACTAACCAATTCCCCACAAGGGGAGGAGTCTTTCCTCTAGTAGAGATCGGTACTCTGACTGACCAATCAACATGCAGATCACCACGAGAGTTGCGTGGAGAATTCACAAAAACTCGCAACTTTTTCAGCAAGCAGGGCTAAGGGCAAAAGCACTTAGCTTGGGTCTCTTCGGCCTTCTCCCTGATCAAACCCTGATTCTTCTTACACCCGCCGGCCTTAGGCCTTGCCAGCTTTCTTCCACCACCGCAGTGCAATGGGCTCCAGCTCCTATACCAGTGCAATGAACCTCGCAATTCCAAACCAACTCGCACATCCAAGATGAGACCATAATCATGAGAGTTCACACCACATCCGAGAGATAACAGATGGATCAGCGCCAGATGTAATTCAACGCAAAAATATGATAATTTACAATTGGAGAGAGTTCAAGTATCCAGCGGCAACTGCCGCGACTCATCACTGCAGCTCAACACAGGTATGCGCCCAACCCTCTCTCTCTCTCTCTCTCTCTCTCTCTCTCTCAACCTCCCTTGGCTCTCAAGCTCTCAAGCTCTCGCTAGCCCACCTAGGATCTACCCTGAATACAGCTGTGATGTGTCACTTTCACCTTGGCGGCTATGACCGCCATCTTCCTCCTCCCTACTTCTACAGCTATGGTCAACTCTTGTAGCCAGGGCTCTTGCTTCCCTCCCCGGTGCGTGTCCTCTGTCCAGGTCGCATTATTGCACAAACAACAAGCAGCGCTTCCGCAACATCGCGAGTGAACAACTGGTTTCGCTTGGCACTGTAGCAGCGAAATATAGCTGCAGTTGATTGTATATTCCTGATTCAAACCGGTACCGGTCGCCCGCGGCCTCTGCTTGCCAAAATTGGTGTTCCGGAAGTCTCCGGACTTTCTTGGGACGCTGCTGCAAATTTTGGACTTTGGGACTTTACTTCCTCTGCAGGTACCGGCGGAATTTTACCGACCTGCGACATTTCAGTACCACAGCCTACCGACCTACGACGCTTCGACCTATGGACCCTACGACCTGCCTTACTGGGACAGCCTGGGACCGGGACCAACTGGGACCTTGGGACTGGGACTTCAGGGACTGACTGTGTGAAATCCTTTCAGGTGCTTTTAGTCTGTGGCGTAGCTCCCTCCTCTCTGTCTCTTCTCTCTCCATGGTGAATCGGTGAATTGGTGCTAGCTATGTGAACTGGTGTAGGTACGTGAATTGGTGCTACACTAATTGGTGCCTGCTACGGGAATCGGTGCTAGCTACCTGGCCGCTACAAACGACAGAAAAGCAAAACTCAGTGGGGATGAGCAACTCAAACAAAGGGAAAAAGGAAACGGCCAACAACCAAAACGATGACCCAAAAAAAACGAAGCAAAACACTGCCCGGAATGACAACAAATTTGAGACATCCATTAAATTGTAACAATTCAGAGAAGATTAGCATGGCCCCTGCACAAGGATGGCACACATAAGTCAAGAAATGGTCCAAACTTTTTATAAGCAAAAGACAAAAAGTTCAAAACAAACACGGCATCACATTGCCCTGGGCCCAAGTGCGAAACATGCCTTGCGGGACAGCTTTATGCGAGACCCACTATAGTCTTTAACAAGATAGAGATTACTGTGGTATATGTTGATTTCATGTCAAGAACTTATGACCTTTTCCGACACAACCAATGGGACATGTGGATGCTTGCAGGTGGCCAGCGGTGTGGCATTTGGAAGTGAAGATTACATGGTACCTACACCTAGCTGGGCTGTATATGGTGCTGAGGAGGGAGGATTCGATCCGAATGAGACGAGAGTGAAAAAGGAGAGAAGGCACGGGACAACTGCCGATTCAGGAGGCTGCTCATAGATAAGACAGTTGGAAAATTTGCCCCTTGTCCTCTTCACTTTGTTTGCTGCGTATGTTAGTTTGTGAGAGCGCTGGTCTTTCACGCCAGAAGTAGTGGGTCAAATCCTGTTTTTCCCAGGTGGTATGGCTGATTGGCTGATGGCATATTAGTTTGCTAACCACAACTCTGCCGTCGCTATGTGCACTTTGTACATTGATTCCTTGCCACAGTCCACTCATTTTGACACAGCTCATGCCATCGTCGCTGCCGTGTAAATGCCAAAAATGAAAAAAAATGACGTTATTCCGCAGACCTAGTGCATAGCACGTGTGAGAGTTCGAGACTTGAACGTATGCCTTTTTGTGTTGTCAATCTTTTGGTTCATTTGAAACTTTTTATCACTGTATGTCCTTTGGGGCATCATGGCCGTTAAACTTGGAACGATACAGTGAACGAGAAGATTAGCAAGGCCCCTGCACATAAGAATTTAAGAAGAAGAGACTTTTGATCAATGTCAGTTGGTTTAGGAGTTGCCGTTCCTGGCAAAAGAGAAAAAAACAGAGTTCTTTGGTTGTCAGGTAGATACATCTACGCATCTGAAACCAGCAAGTACAAGGAGTGGAAAGCACAGAGCTCGCCCACACACAGTTCGGCACACTCGGCCTCTTGCCACCATGACTTTCTTCAAGGACTCGGCGAAGAGCAAATCGGTATGCGCTTCATGCGTATTACTTGATGGTTGACAGACACTTAGAAGAAGTTAGTACAAGTGCGCACAGTTTTCACAATCCGAAAATCACTTTCCTTAAGGACCCGGCGAAGAGCAAATTGGTATGTACTGTGTGCATGTTACTTGATGCTTGGAACTTAGAAGAAACTAGTACAATTGGGCACAGTTTTCACGATCCGAAAATCACTTGCCAAGCCTCCACTGATGAATGTGCATATCGGATAACATCTGTCAATCCCGATGATGATTGCTCACGAGTTAGTAAGATCCTGGGTATGGTTTTGCCGCAATTTTTTTTGCACGTTCCTACTTCCAAAGCTTGTCCTATTAGCGACTGGTTCTCTCTTCTGCGAAAGAAAGCAGCATTTTGAGGCTTGAAGGATGATACTGTTTCACTGTGTCACTGTTTCCGTGTTTGTCTGTTTGCAAATTTAAGGGTATGGGAGGACTGGAAAAAAAAAAAAAGAAAGAACGAAGGCAGGCTAAGCAGTAAGTAGTAAGTACAGGTAAACGGAACTGATATTCTGCCCAAAACAAAAAGGGAAAAAAAGAGCTGATGTTCTGCCCTATGTTTTAAAGGGAATTTGGAGCTGATCATTTCTATTTCTCTCACTCTTTTTCGGAGTTCTTGCTCTCCCTTTTGGTTGACGGAGCTGATCTTGAGAGATGAACAATAGAGGATTCTAGATATGTCACCTTGGTCAGGTTTTGTGTACCATGTTGCTCTCTTGTGATATAGATAAAGGAACACCAGGATCCTCTTTGTCTACAGTGGTCCCTCCAGAGAATGTACCATGTTTAAGTAACTGAAATTATTTTCTTCTATGTTTGATAGCATAAGAGCAAGTGACTGCGCCTTGCTCCACCACTCACGACATAGCATAAGAGCAAGTGAAACTCAGGTTAGTTTTATGCCATGGATCATGGAGGGAGGGGGGGGAAGCGAAAAGGGCTCGCTCCACCACTCACGACATGCAGACAAGAAAAATTATGGGCCGTGTATGTTTCCATGTCCTTGCGTGAGATCCATTCTCATTTTGCACATTTGGTGAGTGTTGGAGCAAGGCCCAAAGCCAGATCTTTTCCTTGTGTTCCTCATTCCTTTTTTTTTTGTTTTCGGGACAGTGTACAATGTACATACCAAACAGCTTTGTGCAAGTTTGTGCTTTTTCCACCAGATGGTTTTTTGGGGGAAAAAAAATGTTTTTAAATTGGAGCTCCAATGCTGCTCCATTCTATTTTCTGGGGAGTTCCTTGCCAGATCCATCCACCAAAAGAGAGCCACTTTTTTATACTTTTTGGATTTTTTCCCGGGTTGTATTTCCCGTGCGCACACATCCGTTTGTGCTGCTCAAGAATACGATCTTGGTCATGCATGCATGTACTCGCGCGTGTTGACCGATTCCCTCCCCCCCCCACCCCCTCCCCCCTTTTTTCTTTTTCTTAAAAGGGTGATGGCTTTTGAATAACATCATTGAACTGACCAGTCGCAGGTGTTGTGGTCATCTGATTGCATCTGGACTCAAACTTGGTGTCTGTATTTCAACACTTCATAGGTGTACCAACAGACATAGGCCCGTGTTGGCTGATTTTCGATGTCTTGAGTTCTGCGATTTGAACTGATGTCAATTTCTAAGTGATCTCAGAGGGCATATCTTGTTAAACTGTTAAGGAGCGGCTCTGCAGATTGCCCAAAGGCCTAAGGCATAGCACTGGCAGTGCTTTGATGAGGATTTTTAAGGCTTGAAAAGTAAGTTCTGTCAGATTGTCCCAAATCAACACTCAGTCCCTCCCACTTTCCCAATGGCCCCACCTGTGATTCCCCCTTTTCGTCAAATGCATGTCTCAAACACTCCATGCACGTCGTTTCAGCAGGCGCACACGAAATGCGTGATCATTATTTTTAGCCTTTTTACTAAGTTTTTAGGTCTTATAATAAAAAAGAATTTTGTAAACCGCTACAACTTTTCAGGCTGGAAGCCAAAGTCGTAAGTATAGCCTATACCACATTCTTCAGAGCAGGCGCCACCGGACCAAAATGTCTGCCGGCGCCAGCCAAAAGAAAGCAAAAAAGGTCGTCCTGGCGCTTTGGCAAACGCTTGATGTTCAGTTGTACTCCACCTCGGCAAAAAAAGGCTCGGAGAGTCGGAGGTGGTTGTGGTTTATTATATTATTATAGACAAGCATAAAGCCTTGAAATGGTTAACCTCAGGGTATACTCACACTATGACTTCCCTGTCACGAATTGAGAACTCGGGAGCTGATGGGGGCTTCAATTCGTGAGTCATTTTTATGACTTCCCTGTCACTCCACAGCTTGAAGCCTTGAAATGGTTAACCTCAGAGTATACTCACACTATGACTTTTTCTACAACAAGGCTCTGGACGTGAATTCAGTGAGGTTCCCAAGCCCGGCCGTAATTGCCCATAAATTTTCTCAAAATTTTCCAATTTGGCTCTTGTGCCAGACTGGGACATTGCTGCCTTTTTTTCCTGACCAATAGAAATCCGACACTTGCAATAATCTCTTCTTTCATCTCGAAATTCCTTTCTTCTCTTCACATCTGCAAAAAGTCGTGACACACCTTTTTTTTTTTTTTTTTTTTTTTTTTTGGGATATAGCTTGTGCTGGGAACCGGGCCCAGTTACACAAGTCATTTGAGATACCGGGGCCATTACCCGGCTTCGGCTGAGAATCAATCTGAGAACTATTGGAGAAATTCAAGAGAATTGAAGGAGACGTTGAAAACTATGAATGAGTACTGACCTCTTCTTGAATGCTCAGAACCCCTAGACTCCCAACCAAAAACTTTCTAAGACTGTCCAACACTGTCATATTCCCTGTCAAGCTCTCCCAGGCCTCACACCCCCACCCGGCTAGGTTACAGGGCAACACGACTCGCCCCAGGTCCGGCCAGTGTCGTCTCAACAGCAATCCTTGGTTGTCCCTTGGAATGCCCACCCCAAAGCATCCCCAGATCTCTCTACCAATCCTAAGCATTCTCAAAACCACCCGGAAAAGGGCGGAAACCATCGAACACATCTTCCTGCAATGTCCGATCGCCCAATTCACATGGAGGTTGTGGGACCGTATATGGAGAAAGATGGAACCTACATCTCCCTGGCCCTGGTCTTGGCAAGCTATAGTGGCCGGCCACTGGCCACACACAGAAGCAGCCACGACCTTCGTAGAGAATATGTACAAACTTGGAAGGAGGGCGGTGTTGTGGGCACTTTGGTGGCAGAGATGTACGCTGGCTATGGATAAAGTGAGGGTAGAGGTGCCAGAAATTACCGAACATATTCAGCAGCAGATGCATTTCGAACTCGCACAAAGATGGCGGGCCACCAAATCACAACTAGATCTTTTTAAATAAGTAGGAGATGCCAGGAGAAGGATTACATCGTTTTGCACAGACTGGGTGGGAGGGGAGAGAGAAGGATGGATTGCAAAATTAGAATGGAGTGGAGATGGGGGGGAGGGACAGAGGGATCTGGAAGAAATGAGAGACTATCGCTTAATTTTTAAGGACTGGACGAACATAGAACCCTCTTTCCCACTCCGCCCTCCTGCTGATTTTCCTGACCCCTTCCCGCCCCACGCCCTTTCCCTGGCAGAGATCCTGTCCTAATTGATATAACCCAGTAACTCTACTTACATGTCCTTACATCTCATTTTCATATAAGGAACTCTCCCCTGGAGCCCCCCAGGTAGTTTTTTCTTCTAACTCTACAGTTTTTTCCTGTTGTGGTATCAGAGCTTAGTGGGACATCTGGCGCCCCCTCCCGGGGGTGAAGAGATACGGATAACAAGGGCTACATCACTATGATTTCGGACACACATACCTGTTCAGTAAATCCCCTGGAGACAGGGCAATCAATGTTGGCAGGTCTCAAAATCACGGATCTTGAATATCTTCCCCTTCTTTGTGGACGATTCTGTATATGAGACGTTGGACCCGGTTTCCAGCAGGTGATGCTCCCCACCAATAGATGGAGCCTCCACCTGAGTGTTAGTGGTGTTTGCTCATATCAGCAGCACTAGCACTGGCAGGAGGGATGTTTTCCGGGAAAAAAAAACAAAAAAAAAAAACAGAAAACAACTCAGAAACCCCCATGAATCCCCTTTACCTCACTCCAGCAAGACTTACTGCAGCAGAGCCACCATCTCCGCTGCTGCTGTACCCTATTTCCATCCTACAAGCTAGCCCCCTCACTAGTAGGACGCTTGATATCCCACCATCACTGTTGACCTATTGCTAGGCTACTCAAGCAGCAATTACCACAAAAGTCCTTCGAATGCTCAGAACCCCTGGACTCCCCGACAAAACACTCTAAAATTCTCTAACACTGTCTAATTCCCTGCCGAGCTCTCCCAGGCCTCATGCCCCCACCCTGCTAGGTTACAGGGCAACACGACTCACCCCAGCTCCGGCCAGCGTCGTCTAGACAGCAACCCTTGGTTTTCCCTTGAAATGCCCGGCCCAAGGCATCCCCAGATCTCTCTACTAGGCCTCACGCTCCTGCTGTCAACAGGTTATAGGGCAACCCCCCAGCACCGGCCAGCATCATTCTGACATCGAAAAACCGCAGGTCCGTGAATATAACAGCGTCAAAGATGCCTAAAATGAGTTGCACGGAGTGCCTAGAATCCTAAGGCATTCTCAAGGGTCTTTTTTTTAAGAAAAATTGAGAATTTTTTTTAAGAAGACCTCCCCCTGCCAGCATTGATTGCCCCGGAACGAGGGGGTTAACTGAACAGGGACGCTCTTTGATGATAGTTTTTTTTTTTTTTGAGAAAAATCTGAGAAGAACTTTTTTTTTTTTTTTTTTTTTTTTTTTAAAGGGCGGCCGATGCCGTGTGATCCAGGCACTCCGGCCTGGTTAACAACTTGCACCAAGTACTAATGAAAACAGCTTCGAAGGGGCTAATAGAAGAAAACAGACATCTATTCAGTACTAAATGCAAAGGACCCTTTTGTTTTTTGGAAGAACATTCAGATTAAGAAATACCTGCCTTAGAGCCTTTCAGTAGCCCACCCCTACCTACCTCATCCCTATGTCCTGATACTTAGTCTCTACTAGGCCTTACTTAGTCTCTACTAGGNCTTAGAGCCTTTCAGTAGCCCACCCCTACCTACCTCATCCCTATGTCCTGATACTTAGTCTCTACTAGGCCTTACTTAGTCTCTACTAGGCCTCACACCCCCAACTGCTAGGTTACAGAGTGGCACGACCCACCCCAGAAGACTCCCACCTGCTAGGCTACAGGGCAAAAAGACCCGCCCCGGCACCGACCATCGTCGACTAAGTATCAGCTTACCAAAGGACACTAGGCTGCCTTCCACCCTCGACAACTCCCCAGATCTCTCTACCAGGTCTCTTGCCCTCGTACAGCTCGAGTTACAGGGTAGCGCGACCAAGCCCCAGCACCGACCAGCGTCGTTCTGGCCTCGTCCATTCGCAAACCCACGGGGACCCAAGACTACAGTAAATACCAGACAAGCCACCAATCAGCAACATAACTGTAGTTCCGATCATTCAGCTCCTTCAGGCAATGGTTGCAGATGTCCCACATAAAATCCCTCACAACCCTACTCCGGCAAGTCTTACTACGATGAAGCCAGAGCGCATTATTCCCCATCATCGCAACGACAACCCCCTGACACCAGCGCCAACTTATAAAGAATTTTTTAATCAGAAAATTCAATCCCATTCAAAGCATATTGAGAAATCAGGAAATCAGAAGATTGAGAAAA